GGGGGTGGGGCAAAATTAGAATACGAGAGAACAGTTCCATCGTCGTAAATCCATTTCCCGTTATGACGTTCGGCTTGTATCCATACGCCCCTTTCGCTACTCTGATGAGACACTGAAAAGATAAATGCTTTTAATATATAGTATTACTTTCATTATATTTATATTATAAATCGACCGCGTGGCGCAGAGGTTAGAGCGTCTGCTCTAGAGTCGTGAAGTAAGGAGTCAATCCTTACATTGCGGGTTCGAATCCCACTGTGGGACGTGGAGACCGCGGTCCTTCGGATGAGACCGTTTAAATCGAGGCCCCGTGTCGCAGTAGGTGCTGGCATGAAAAAGATCCCTCACTGCTCAATGGCCCTAAGTGCCGAGTATAGGTAAAAAAAATTGTAGCTCTCCGCTGACAAAAGGGTGAAAAATTCTAGAGAGGGACGGTTAATAACATACAGTCAATCAATATTATACTGATAGTCATACATGTATAAACCTACATGTATTTACAAGGGTCGAGATTCTGACGTCGCAGGTTCGAATCCCACTGCGGACATGGAGACAGATCCTTCATATATAAACCGAGGTCCCATGTCGCAGTCGGTGCTGGAATGAAAGAGATTCCTCACTGATCAAAAACCGTAAGTGCAAATAACCAAGTACAGATAAAATTTGCTGCCCTCAAATGACAAGCGGTGATGTCGAAATATGAGGGAATCAAAAAAAAAACAAAAAACAAGAAAAAAACACAGTTTGGTCACGTGATAGCGAACGCCTAACTTTTGTTTCAATTTAATTAGGGTATAAAGCTGTGTCATTTTGATTTATGTATATGTAGGCTTCATTCACATCCTGTTCCTGAGAACGTATTCAGTCTTCTCTAAATTCTCATGAATACAACACTCATGAAAAATTCATAATTTCAAGGGTTTTATTTCAAATAAATAATCATGCATGTGCACAATTCAAAAAATATAATAAAACACTCTTTGGTGCTGTGATCACTTAAGTTAAAATTTATAATGATGAATATATCAGATCTAAACAAAAACAGTCATCCAATTAAAAGCATAGACATAGAATGTCAGCTCAGCAGCTAAAATTGACACCATCTTTAGTTGGCAGTATAATAATTGGGCCAGCGTTGGTCCAACGTGGAGACCGCGGTCTTTGAAACACCTACACAAAAGGTCCCGTGTAACATCGGGCCAACATACTACAATGTACTACCAAATTGATAAGACATTTTTTGAGTATATATACAAACATTGGGCCAATATACTACTACCCATTTGATAAGACAAAAGGGTGAAAAACAAGAGAGGGGCGTTGGGCCAACAACATACATTTGATAAGACACTTTATTAGGGATGTATTACAAACATTTGGCAAACGTTAGGCCAACATACTACTTTCAGCTTGATAAGACGCATTCTTTATGTATAACAAACATCGGGCCAACGTTGGGCCAACATACTACTACCAACTTTAAAGGTCACTTTCTTTAAGGGTGTATTACAAACATTAGGCCAACGTTGGGCCAACATACTACTACCAACTTTAAAAGACACTTTCTTTATATAAACCGAGGTCCAACACTACTACCAACTTTAAAAGACACTTTGTTAAGGGTGTATTACAGAGATTCCTCACTGATCAAAAACCGTAAGTGCAAATAACCAAGTACAGATAAAATTTGCTGCCCTCAAATGACAAGCGGTGATGTCGAAATATGAGGGAATCAAAAAAAAACCTAAAAACAAGAAAAAAACAAAAAGGTGAACTACATGTATCACTGAGATCATTTAACTCACTTGAGCATATGACCATGATGACTCAGGAGAGCTATTTCTTAACAATATTTCCCATTTTGGCAATATCAGGACACTTCCTAATATAACTTGTTACAGTACATGTGTTCCTTACCAACAAACTCTTGGAATTTGTTCTGTTTTTCCGCCGAGTCTACCCTGATGATATTGCCCCCTTCTCCAACACAGAAGGACCTCGCTGAGGAGTAGTTGATCTCCTCTCTAACAAACCGCCAACAGTGTCGTGAACTGGACAGTACTATATGGGTGTAGTTCTTGTCACAACTAACTACAAGGAAAATAAAATAATTCATTTAATTTGCAGTTTAGCTCTTCTCTTGAGCGTTCACTCACATGTACCCAAAAGATTGATTGATTGATTTGTGTTGTTTTACGACGAGTCGGCAATATTTCAGCCATATTTCGGCGGTTTACCCAAAGAAAAGAAACTCCCAAAATATGTTTTAGAGCATAAAGCATAAAACATAAAACCACGAGGCTTTTATTCAATGTATACCCTTTTTCCAATAGCTATCAGAAAATCAAATAACGAAACTTACATAATTGGAAGTTGATCAAATTGACGTCTGAAACAGCGACACCTTCTGGTACGTTTTGGCAGCAGTAACAGTGCCCGGTATCCCTGCTAATGCCGAATAAGTAGAAGTACGTAAATCTTGATAAACAAGCCGTGAAACATCGTCTGGAACTCTTCGTGTTGTGAACTTTCTCACAAGAATCGTATGTGGCGTTTTCATTTGTGGCTTTTGCTGAAAGCTGGCGTATAGATGTCTCACTGGCAATGCATCCAGACAAAAATAATGACATCCATATAAGGGGCGCCATTATAAATGATCATGTGGTCAGAATCTTCGACCAGACTTCAGATTCTTTTGTGGAAGAAAAGTACACAGCACAAGCTTGAGTATGGGTACTTTTCCAGACGTTTTTGATTACATGAATACACTTGAAAGCATTTCTTATTTCGGTGTTATGTTTGTTTTAATATGTTCAAGTCAATATTAATTTATTTTAATTGATGTTTTGGACGGATTTTTCAAACATTAATTTAGCAAGGCAGAATATTTAAAATCCATGTGTACAAACAATCGCCACGACCGTGATTGCTGAACTCTGCAAAATATTCTTGTCCAGCTACTTGTATTGCCAACAAAAATCAGCTTAATTAGGTAAAATCCCAGGTTTCATAAGTCTTTCAAAGTTCACCAAAAGGTCGCCAAAAGAAAGCAGGAAGATTGTTAAAAAGTCAATATCTTTGGTTATCGAGCGATATCTCAGAGTCAGGAGGTTTTTGAGGTGAAGGTAAAAAGTAAAACTGTGATCGATCTCAAATTAAAAAGCTAGCGCTGAAAACAATATAAATATGTCTTAAATGCACAAATGCAGGTTCCCGCAAATTTCAAAGGTGGGATCCGGCCTGGGGGCTATAAACTTAGATTGACTGATTGTATATTGTTTAACATCCCTCTCGAGAATTGTTCACTCATATGGAGACGCCACCACTTGCCAGTGGAGAGCTGCAACTTTTGTCCTATACTAGGCACTTAGAGCCATTGAGCAGGGAGGGATCTTTTTCTTGCCAGCACCTACTGCGATACGGGACCTCGGTTCATACGGTCTCATCCGAAGGACCGGTCTCGACGTCCCACAGTGGGATTCGAACCCGCGACGTAGGAACATATCCTTATTTCGCGACTCCATAAAGCAGACACTCCATCCACTGCGCCACGCCGGCAGCTATAATCTTAGACGGGATCACTTTTTTGTCATGCAGTCTCACTTTTTTCAAATGAATTAATAGTGGGAAAGGGAGACTGAGATCAAAGGTGAGCTCATCTAAGTTTTATGATCCCCAGGCCAGGTGTCAAGGATGAGTAAAACATCCCGTGTTAACCGATCACAGCCGCTGTCAGCCCTATGTATTAATCAAGTTTACAGAGCACATTCCAAAGAATGAAAAATGCCTGTATTCTGCACGCCGAAAAAATAGACAAGGAGTTTTTTTGAGAGGTTACAGGGAGATTAGCTAAGAAAACTTGAGACTACATCGGAGATTTATGACAGATCAAAGAGAGATCAATGAGATCGTGTACTTTCACACATAATCTTACATTTCGAGGCTACAGAGATCTCTGAGAAATTGCCTGAATTTCAAATCGCCCAAAGATCTCTTACTGATCTCCTTGTTAGTATAGTCCTGAGTCATTAGGTTTATATTTTATTGTATTGTATGTTTAAAATTGCCAGGGGAGACTGGGTAATTTTTTTATTTAGGCTTTCTGCTCCCGCAAAAAATTCTAATCTATGGTTTTGTAAGATTTCAATGAAAGTGAAGAATATGTTAACCGTTTACAAAAGAAAGTAGCAATGATCTTATTTTGAAATGGAATCAGTTGATGTATACATTAGTCTACTTATATCAAAATTTCCTTCCACCACTTTTTTCTCAGATTATGAATACAAATAGAATATGTACCTTAAGTGGTTTCAATCCATATATCTAGTGGTAGGGAGATTTCATTCCATTCAATGTCACTGGTTTGTGGACAAAGTTAAAAGAAAGTGGATGCATTTTGTCCGGTGAATATTGATATTGCATTCGGATACATAGGTTGTAAATATGGTTTGATCAGTCTAGTACATGTATATACTATTCCCAATTGTGGATGTTTTAGTTTCCTCTCAGCCAAATTGGTATGCGCTTTTAATTGTGAATGAAATTTATGAAACTTTGAATCTTACAGCAAGACACATAACAGGAAAAAGGACTTTTTCACCAGATGCTCACTCCTCCCTTACAGCAAGATAACAAAAGGGATGCTCACTCCTCCATTGCACCTGATCCTCCCTCTGATGTTTTAGAGGTCCGTGTTTGCTCTGCTCTAAGTGTTTGCCCTGCTCCAAAATCTGTATTGTTTAATGGACTTTTGAACTAGAATTATGTTGGTTATCTCCATACATTTCATTTCAAACTGATTAAGTAAGAACTTTTTCACTATGTTTTGTGTCTTTATGGATAGCAGGTCATTCAATACCTGATAAATCAACATCCGGAGTCTCAAAATATTACATTGTCAGAATTTCTACATTTTTGAGAACTCAAAAATAAATTATTTTTATAATGAAGGATCTAAAATCAATTATTACCATTCTTTTAAAAAAATATAAGTAAAGGCGTTTTGATTTTACATGCTATATTTATTTTCTCTGTTTGTTCTTTAAATAAGAACAAATATTTCTCCATTCATCAAACATGGAAAACAAGTATTGCAGAGTTTGACAATGTAATGACTAAACTAATCAGCATCTCAGATCTCTACATAATTACAGTAATTATGTGGATCATTTAATTAATGAACTAGCAAAAACCATTTAATTCCTCTATTTCAAATATAATAATTAAACAAAATTTCAAATTTCTCTGAATCCAGAAGAATCGATTTGTCTTAATTTGTAGATACATGCATTTTCATGATGTTTAATTAAAATATTACATATTTTTTCCATTTAGAAATACTTCATTAATACAAATTTATGAAATAATTGCTTCAAGCATATGTGTATATTTTTCATGTATATTTGAGACATTTCTTTTTAAGTTTCAGCATCAAATATGGTACTTAAGTTATGCAATATGATTTTGGCATAATGTTTAAATTATGAAATTCAGAATATTTCAAATTATGCAATATCAAAAGTTATAAGGAAATTTGTAATAAATATACAAATTTTACAGCTGATTTATAACAGATTTTAACAAATGATAGTACAAGTACATAACCAATATCTATAAATTGCTTTCAAATTTTTAAAGAAATTCTTGACCATGTGAGCATACATATATTTTTGTCATTTAGTAAGCTGAATTTACATGAAGTACTCTAAAAATATATATATAATAAAATTTCAGATTCCGTTTGCTACTAGAAAATAAAACACATAATAAACATTTTCTTCAAATAAATAAAAGTAAGCAGATGTAATTCAACCACATCTATCTTAATGTACATTGAAATATATGCACACAAAAACACACACATGTATAGAAAATCTTACATCAATGATTTCAATAAATAATTATAAATGTCATTTTCATAAGGTGAGATTTTTTCTTCCATATCACAATAGGTCAACAATATATCAACAAATCAGAGAAGACTATAATTATTTGGCATTGTGAACAAAGTCCAGACAAGCCAAAATGCACATGATATTATAACCATCTGTCCCAAATTCCAGTTCGATTGTGTTAAAAACTGAAGAATATATAATATTCTAAAAACATAACAGTTTGATTTATATACTTGACATGATTGTTACAGCATTGCACTATTCAACACATTGATCTGGTATTTCCCTATCACAGGAAATGGATTTTAACTTCCTGTGAAATCAAGTTCATTTCGCCACTATGACCCGCATATGTCTCAAACTAGGGAACTATAGGAACCCCTCAGCGAGCCTTGTCCTTTAAACCCCGATGTACAGGTTGCCCCCATACAGTATTCTGTGTAGATGATGCCTGCATCTAAGTTCTCTTTATTTCACAGAACAATTTTATTCGACCCGGCAAGAACAGCATGGCACCCTTCCTAACAGGTGCCCCCGAGCTGTCATAAAGTAATGACCCAGACATTTTCTGCTCTTATTTTTTCAAACGTCTGTCCCCACTGGTAACCCCTTCCTAAGTGACACTGCTTGCTTCCTATAACCTTTGACCCCTGGCTGTAGTGCAGGTGAACCCAGAGACTGTAGGCTAGTTTGACTGGTTTTGGGGGTGGCTGGTGACCCCCGGGAATGTAAACTGGTCTGGCTGTTCTGCGACACTCTGTCCCCACACACCATTACTCCTCCTGAACCCCCAGAGGCCTGTCAATCAAATTGTGATTAGATAACTATTACTTCCTCAATATATTTCAAAATTTATCTGTAATTATGCAAAAAATAGCTAATTCTCTTATCTAATTACTCATCAAATTTTCACTTTAAAGTACCAAATAAAAGGGTATTATCAATGTGGCTTAATTACAATGAAACACATTTATACATGTATATGTACGTTTTTAATTTCCATAAACACAAATCTATTCCCTTTTGTTATTGCAATAAACATATTCCAGTTTTGTTTACAAATGAACATAAGCACTAGCTAATACAGTGCTCCTATTCATTTTAGACATTGTATATTAAAGGAACTCACCACCCCGCTGTCTAGAGATCCACCACTGCTACCTCTCCTCATCCCTTGACCTGTCAATCAAATGGTTTCCATTAGCAACAGTCATGTATTTGCTTCATCATATTCATTGAAAAAAAAACAGTTTATGACATAATTATTGATGAATTAAATACAGATATTGTGTGATGTTTCCACAGCTGTGAGGGGAACTGGGCCCAGTGTCTTTCATTTGGAACACCTCAGCTGACTACATTACTCTATATCAAATGATGTAATCAACCGAGGTGTGCTGAGTGTGTGTCTTTGTCACATGTATGAGCAAGAGTTATGTCCCTTATACTGAACCATGCATCAATAGAACTATGTGTTCTAATTACTTTACTGCACATACTTTCATGAATGATTCATTCAAGTGTGTATACTGACAATTTGTTTTTATCATAAACATGCATCAGTACAGCAAACCCACATATAATATCTAGCATTATAATTTTCAACTTTTATACAAATAATTATAAATAAACTTCCAATATTTTGTTGACTGGTCTATATATTTGGTGATGAAATAAAATGTCACAATGGTCCACTATAAATTAAGATTTAAAAAAAGCAAAGAAAAGCACATGTACATACTTACAGTCTTATAATGTTTTAATATAAAATTGCTTGCAAATAATGTAAATATAAAATCAAATATAAAAAGGTAAAAGGCAAACTCCAGTTATCCCAAGATAAATAGTAATGTAATTCAAACTTTCTTGATAATTTTAAATGCATAACAAACTTTTTCCATAACTTTTATAAAGTCATGCTTTAATTGTCTAAATTATCAAGAGATAAAATCATAACCCTTAACCCATTGCCTTTGTGATTGCATTATTCTAATTCTGAAACCATGCTCATTTTCATACACAGTAAAGAAACAATAGTGTATATATTATAAATTTCCTTTGAGATTTATATAGCTTTAGTCACTCAATATATACAGAATGCATACATGCAAACCATAATATTCTCCATCTGCCATTCCAAAGTCCCATGATATTTGATTAGTAGTCTAAGAGTGAATGAACCCATGCGATGGAGTTTGCAAACTCAAAAATGCAACAAAAGACAGTCATGCGCATGCGTACCTTGACAAAGATCAGTGAGAGAGTTGGAGAGGGGGAGTTTCTGTAGAGCGGGGCAGTCGGGGGCCGACAGTCTATTTATAGACGGGTCTGATGGCTTCATGAGATCGTACATTAATACGCGAGAGTCGTCGTTTGCATAATGTCGGTCTAGAGTGTTGTGATTGGCCGTGTGTTTCTGGACTTCTTCTATACGTAACGTCTCCATTCCATTGGTCTGTAAAGAGAAAATAATGGAAAAGTTTTAAAATGGTTTTATTAAATTTCTTACCATAAGAATATGAAAATTCAAGTCTTTCTTTTAATTCTTAAATAAAAACAAATTTGTTTTTGTACAAAAATATTTTTGGGGTACAACATTTCTTTCCAATAGATTTACTTTTACCAACTTAAGGTCAAGATCTAGTAAATAACTTGAGACTAATTTTTTGGTGCTAGATCCATTATGACGTCATAATCAATTTCAACTTTCTTTTTCCCGTACTTTACGGCTTAAGCAGAATTATGTAGAAAATAGGGTATTTTCATGTCATTCAATTTGAAATCATATGAAAAGTGATACCTATATTGAATTTGATATTGATAAAGAAAGGCCATGAACATACTAATTACCGTTTTCTGATAGACTATAGGCAATCTGGATACATTTCCTTTGCTTAATAAGCAAAAAACTCCCATATTCATGACTGGTTTTCTTAATTTTTCATTGAAAATGACAGTTTAAAATACAGTTTTTCATCTTATTTACCTACAAATTATGCCCCGAAACACCTTATTTGACCAAGCTAAAGTTGTAAAGCATCAATAAAGGAATTTATTTCTCAAGTTTGATAAATCTGTAGGCACCTTTCATTTACTAGATCTTGACCTTAAAGTCTATAGCTGATTTAAAATTTTCATATCAATACTTTATATCATATGCAAATCAAAAACTACACAATTTATCCTGACATTCTTATCAAAACACCCACCAGACAATTAATTAAGCTTTAATAATTCTCTAATTTTTACCTCTAAGATTGCCTCCCTTAGATCTTCCACAAACTTCTGTCGGTCATGGTCGTTTCTGGCGTTTAGCGTGATCAGCACTTTATGGTTCACACCTCCCACTAGCCGCACACCATACTGGTAATCTGAAATATTAATAGAAACTCAAAATAGGATGTACGAAATATTAACAAGTTTTTCTTCCACACGATATAGAATATTTCTTTCGTCGGAGGTGGGGGGGATAGCCATCAACTCATCTGATCAGAAATCTTTTGACTGAGATTTACTGTACAGTTATCATGGCTTAATCTCCCAAATGTCTTTAGGTTAAACAAATGCCAATTTTTTATTAATAACGAAAAGATTTGGTTTGAAAAACAAAATATTAGACAAAATTTTCATTAATTAATCTTCTTATCTTTATGAAGTGGGAAAACCCACCAATACTGTAATTATAAAGCAATTACCATACAAGGTATTTTGCCATACATGATAATTTCTTAAATGTTATGCTAATAAAAAGATCGACAATTATTGGATTCAACCCACACAATGAACTGTGAAATAATGAATATATATATAAAAATCTTAAAATTTTCAAAAACATGTCTAAACAAAGTCATTTTGCTTTACATTTTTAACATGTATACCATCAGATACATATATCTTTGAGGTGCATGTCCTTTGCTGACATTATAACCATGAGTTTTTTGCCCTGTTCATGCGAATGTGCTCTCAATATTTAATATTCACAGTCAATTAATGAGAAGTAAAATTAATTTAATTTAAATAACTTAAAAATTATTAAATTTGAATTAGCTCCAGTTAGCAATCATTGTCAATTAATGTGAGGCAAATTACATGTAATGTGCAGTAAGTTAATTTGAATTTAACTGATTGAATGCAGTTTAAATTCAATTTGGCATGACTTAGTTATGTTTAATTCATATAAAACACTCCATGTAAACAGGTAAGGAATTGACTGGAAGACCACAAGGGTAATAACATTAAAAAAAAGTTGTCCGTATATAATTTCAAAAAAAAATATTTCAAAGAAAGAACTTTTTTGGCTAGAACTTTTATAAAAAATTTGAACAGAAAAATTTTTTGGCCAGGATTTTTTTTTTTAAGGAATGAAGCTTATTTAAACTTATGTTATACGATATAACATAACTTGGGGCAGTTTACACTTTATAAACCGCGAAGCGGTTTATAAAAAAGCGTAAACTGCCCCAAGTTATGTTATATCGTATAACATAAGTTGAAATATGCTTCATTCCTTATGATTTAATTTCAATGAAGACAATGATACAATTTTTCCATTTTTTTCCTTCGGAAAAAGGCTTCAAACATCGCATATTTTAAAAGTTAACGTCAAGCGGAGTAATACGTTTTTTGATGTAACTCATTGTGACGTAGGCAAGTTATGTTATACAAAATGGATAAAACCGTTTAACCAGTCAAATGACGTGTTATGAGTGAAATTAAATTATTTACAGAAACAACTTTCGTCAACTTGTGTTTGGTTAGGCTGTTCAAGGATCTATGTCAACTTACGTGAGGTTTCAAACAGAAAGACCTGCATGCTGCTGAGTGGGAAAGACTGTTTGTAGGAGTAAGTAATGCCCGACTTCTTCTTACTGAATATCTTCGTAATCTGAAAAAATAATTAAGATCATTAAATTATGAAATGGATGAATATTTCATTCTCACTTGTGAGCACTGAAAATTGTATAATTCCCATCAAAATTTATGCTCGCTGCTTTGTCTTAACAAATTGCCTCAATTATCGCTGTTTAATGACAAATAAGCATATGCTTCTGACTTTTAAAATATTTTAAAATTAATGACATGCAGTAAGAGTTATCTTTCTTTTCATACTAACCAGAAGTAAGTCATTAAAGAGGAAGACTTCGCGCTGATGGAGACCAATTTTTTCTTTTTTATTTGGATCGTGGACTTCATATAAACGACAGTAACACACCAATCGCCGATGGGGAAGAGCCAGTTGCTAAAAAAAGCATAAAAGATAAGCATGCAACTTCTTCCATGAATATATTTATAAATAAGAATTTTAAAAGCTGCAATTATTGCTTTAAATTATATAGTTCAAAATGAATGTACAAATATACTATTTGATAAATCCACAAACAATGTATTGTATGCAAACATTTTTTTTTGATAACAAGAGCTACACTGTCATAATATTAAACATTGATAACTGCTCATGGTTATCTACAGTGTATGTACATGTATTACATAATTATGAACTTTGCATCGATTTATTTAAATAAGAACTAAAGCCACTACAGTACATACATTGTCAACTTAGATAAATAATTAACCAATCTAAATCAAACAAAGGATGAACAATTTCAGATAGAATTTTCTGATATGAAAGTATTCTAGGTATAAACAACTTACTGGCTTTTTCCCCACCACTGTTTGTTCGACCTTCATGACCTGTGTCACATGATCAACTCCAGGTTTAAACTCTTGTGTCTGGATTCGGTTGTAGATGCCGATCAACATGTCTCTGTCTACGTCCTGACCATCATCTATGTCTGTGTTAAAGGAAAAAAATAGTAAACTTTAATGATTTATAAAGTGCATACAAGGATCATGTCAGCAAATGCCATCTCTTGTATTCAACTGTTGACTTACATTTTTCTTAATGTGAATTGTTAGCTAGGCCAATACATTCACACTAAATTGTCTGCACAGACATTTCCGATTGCCAGATCATGACAAGGAGCACATGGCGGATGTGATTGTTTAACAAAGGATGCTTACTTGTTCATGGCAACTGATTCCATTTCTGATGTTTTAAGAGTTCTATGTTTTCTCTGCTATGAATTCATATTGTTCCATTAACCTTTTGAGCTTGATAATTTATTTTTATCTTCATATTTTACAAACAAAATATAGTTAATGCAGTCTGGTATGCATAGGAATTTAGCTGCATGACCAAAACTACTTGTTGAAATGTTGAGAATGTATAACAGTTTGTAATTTGCACTGGTGGATCTAGAGGGGGCCCAGCACCCCCATCTCCCCTTTTTCTGTCCAAAATATACATAAAATTTAATAAATCAATTTTTATTCAAGAATTTTTTTAAAGATTCCTGTTTTCGCCACAATTTGCTCTCATTAGTACTATTAGGTGCTGATCTGCAATTGTGAACAGGCAATATGCCCGACTAAAAACAGCAAGGACATTTTATGTCAAACTACGTGATCTGTGTAGTGTTTCAGAATTAAGTCTGGGCAGATTCTGGTAATTAAAAGCCTAATTAACAATCCCTAATCAAACTGTCTCCCTTGTTCTACAGAGACCTGCGTGATTAATGACTTGTTCCACACAATTCAGAAAAAGAAGGTTAAAAATACCCACTCAGCACTGGCAAAAGACGATGTCTTTAAAATGTCAGTCTGACAGTTATTCTGAAGGGTACAGATAAAGCTTTCTTTAAACTTAATTCTGAAGTTTTTTGCAGGCATGGATATTGACTTATGTTTGTTCATTACTACATAAGAAGTGAACATACTGAGTTTCCAGTTGGAAATTCTAACAAGAGGCCCATGGGCCTTATAGGTCACCTGAGTATTGTGTAACAACTTTCAAACAATTAAATTTGGTTGTTGTTTTAAACCAGAGGCCATGAAATTCACAATTTACAATTTTGAAAGAGGCACCATTGCTTATCATAATTATTAACTTAGCATGCTTACTCTACTTAATTCCCAGAGGTAGATCAGTAACAAAGAAAATGCACTTCCACTTTATACCCAGTTGTGCACCTCACCCTAAAGGAACCACTGACCCATGGGCCACATATTTCAAAATTTTGCAAATTTTATCATGAAATGGTTGATTAATACCAAAGAGCAGATCAAAGCATTTAATTTTTTTGCATGATTAATGCATAAAAAAAAAACACTTTGCTAGATGCACCTTTCTTAATCATAAATATATATATATATATATATACTTGGATATTGGGATAAAACCCAGAAGCAAAGGAAAATATTTTCAAAGAATTAATGGTTAAAAATACCCTGGGGCCCACAAATCAGCACTGGCAAAAGACAATGTCTATATTTAAAATGTCTGACCCTGGGGCTATCAAATTCACAAATCTGACAGTTATTGCTCAGTTAGTTTATTTAATACCCAGGAGCAGAGAAGAAGATTTTCAAAGAAATTATGTATTTTTCTATATAAATACTTAGAATGACCCTGGGGCCATGAATTTCACTGAAGTTTTTTGCTAACAGTTTGGCACGGATATTTTTAAAGATTGCAATAATTTTATGTTTGTTCATGGGGACCATAACTACATAAGCATACCAAAGTGAACATACTGAAAATGTTCCATGTTGGACACAAATTCTAACAAAAATCATTTTATCAGGTGACCTAACAAAAATCATTTTAGCAAATAAGAAACGTAAAGTTGATCTGCATTTAACTTGCATGTACAGTTATCAAAATAGACTTACAAACCAAATTCCTAAAGCTTTAGAAAGCCCCCTCCTAAAAAAGCGGGATATATCACCTTGTTGCCTGAGAGCAAGAGAGAGAAACCCACAGAACCTTAAAGGGACTAATAATTTTACAAGATTGGGTATAAATATTTCAATTTCACTGACACATATCCATACATAAGTAGTGTACATTGTACATGGGATTTCCCTGTACAGATTGTCCACAGTACATATTTATAAATGACATCTACTTCCTAAATCTACACTGATAATTTTTTTAACAATGCTGACAATTAATTAGTACATTGTATTAATTTAGTCATCACATTAATTTCCTGCTGTGACATACATTTTGATCCCTAAAAAATTTGATTTCAGTCAACAAAACTGAATATTGCTTTATATCATAAAATTATATTTCAATGTTTTAGTTATTAACCAGTTTTAAAGTCCTCATTCAAAACTCTGAAGTCTTAACAGGGACAATTTCATCCTCTAAATAATAATTTATCCCTTTCACTTTTACCTAGCTGGCATCCAATAAAGTACATAATGGAAAGGTTCACTTTCTTTCAAAAGTGCTTATTTGTTGTACATGTGCTCTTATTTTTTATAAATTTAAATTGTGACACTAATACTTTTGAACAGAATTTCTTCATTGAAATTTGATTCACTAATATAAGCAGTTCAGTATTTGTTTTTATATGTTAAGTACAATGTACTTTTGACTGTCTGTAAGTTTTTACACACTTATATAGCTTAATTCATAAATTAGGTCTGACACCAAAATCATTGCCAACAAGGGGACAAAAAATATCTGAACATTGGAATTACTTTCTTGAACACTGTGCAATTAAATTACCTCTCATATTTCGGATGAAATCTTCTACTTTCATTTTGCGTTCCGCCTTAATGCTGGAATTGTGGGCATCGGTATTCAACATAATAATAGCAAATGCTAGTAAGAAAATTGTGTCAAGGTTTCGGAAGTTCTTGATTTGGTCTGGGTTGCATGTGCAGTAACGATCAGCAAATGCCTGTGAAAACAAAGAAAAATAAATACATGTACTGGATTTTTTTTCCATTATTTGTACATTATATCAATTTTAACTTACACTGCTGTATAGAATTTGTCCAATATTAGAGAGGAACAACCATATTACAATATCATGTATATATGTTCATGAATACATGTATGACATATAGGTATGTTCTAATAATGAATAAAATTGTAGTACAGTACTCATTTTGCTTACAATGTAGATCTAAATGCAGAATTGAATTCTCATACTCTGAATCTAGAACAATGTTATTTTCCTTGAAACAGAAATGAAACAACTGATCGCAATTGTAGCTGATATGCATGGTTGCAAGTTACAGGTTACATTATCTCCTACGGAATGCAAGTGTGAAATTCAACCTTGCGTTAAAAAAAACTACATTAAAGAGGTTTTTACAATGTTAAACAGAGTGTTTCTGTTTTTTAATCATTTTATCTTGTCAGTGGACTTTTTTCTCCTAGCATCTCTATCTTAATCTCTCTAATTCTGTACTTTTATTGGTCACATCTTGAGAATGCACGATGCAAGGGGGAATATATTCTCGTTAGACTTGGACCTCGTTAACTTTACCTCCATTAGCCTCTCAATCTTCTGTGCTTCACCCTGAAATCACAAGAACGACTCATTAATCACTATCACAGAAAAAAAAAAACACAGATAAAATTCACCCTTAAAATTGATAGGGAAAGTACATTCATCTTGTTTCGACATTGTTCCATCTGGTTCCAGAAATTTATTTTAAGGGCAGATGGTTTTTTAGCTGAGTAATGTTTTTTCCACTCAGGGGTTTCTGGTCTCTTCAATGTTTGCTTTAACTTGTATAGATATTATGTAACAAGCTTCTTTTTAAAAGCAGCTTAAACATTCAACTTCCTCTAGAAAAATAATAAGTCTGATTTTCCTATAAAAAATATGATGCACAGTGCTTAAAGTAAAGGACTTTGACTCCAACTAAGGAGCATCAATGCTAGACTTCATGGTATAAATTGGTCCTACTTTTGTCAAAGATGGTGATATATGGGTAAAAAAGCTGTTTTAGAGACTGAAACAAATAAAGCTTTTTTAGAGACAATCCTTTGATACAATGATGTATTAGAGGAAGATTGAAGATTTTGAGGGTGCAGTATATAATAAAGTATATATAGTATCTAATCTGAGAGGAGTTTTATCAGACAATGAACCTGACTGACCCTTTGACCAATCACTGTATCAGAATCCACTTGTTCTAATCTTATCTTAAGGGAATTCCTTCCCCAATATGAGGTACTATCAGTCAATATTTAATCACTGATCACCCCTATAAAAAAAGGGAAAAACGTATATCTTACAGAATTCTTTCTTCAATATGAGGGTACTAACCAGTCGATATCTCAACACTTAATTTTCACCCTCATAAGTCATAAAATAGGGGAAAACATATATTGTAAACATAAAAGAAGAGCTATGTAACTTTGAGAAATATCTAGATCATAATCAGACTGCCTTTCATGTGTTTGATTTACTGACAGAATTACCATAAGATGGCAGGGGAGATAGCTTGTATTTTATCATTACACTGATGAATGTTCTATCCAATCTCTTTGAACTCTCTCTTTCTTCCTAATTAATGCTCATCTTAATTTTTTTTCATTTTTTTTGGGGGGGGGGGGGGAGGGGAGGGGGGAGGGATGGGGGTTAACATATCTAATTAATAATTAAATTTATAAAATTTTGTATTCTAAAAAGGTTAATGCAAAGTTTCTCATTGCATTATGAAAATCTGCATCCTTCACTATAAGCTCTTTTTTATTTTGATGGTCTAAATAAAAGGGAGCTAGCAAAGGTTTTATTTTAATCAGAATGTTATCTCTGTCTTATAGCAGGAAACAATTTTCAGGAACCAGCTGAAAACTTTGAACTTTATATTCCTCCTACACACACATTAGCTGCATTTTAATTTCAAATTAGCACAACAATCAATACTTTATCACTTGGATGTAGAAAACAATTAGTGATTGAACATATGGAATTTCCAGTGGATTTAATATTATCCACAGACAGACTTACGGGCATTCTGAAGTAAGACTGGAATTTCCTGAGAGCCATGTCTATCTGAAGACCTGACAGGTCAATTTCTTGAGCAAAACATCTGAAAAAAGAAAAAAAAAACATCTTGAATAAATATAAGAATGTACAGTTGATTCTCATTATCTAGAACACAATGGACCAAGAAAAATCTTCAAGATATCCAAAGATTCAAGATACCGATTAAAGAGTGTAAATTTCTTTAAGAATAAGTTGTCGGGACTTGCAAAATCAATGTCCAAGATACAAAGTTATCATTATATTAATATGGTACTGCAGTAACATCTTAATTAATATTGAATTCAAAAAAAATATTATGTTCATGATTTCTACTCCTGCAGTTTGCACATGACAAACTTAAAGAAAATTTTTCTGCATATTAGAAATCATATATCTATAATCTGGAATTCTTCTGCCAATGAAAACATTAAGAGGATTAGCAGCAGATTAACACATTCTAAAACACCACTCCATTCCATCAAAAAGGGATTTGATTGCCCACAATCCCTGAATCTCGTGATACATCAAGCAGTCTTTATCAATATCAGACAGCGGAGGTATCTAGTACCGCACCACGTACAGCTTATAAATCTGAGGTGCAACAATATCATTCTGCAGATAGGCGCACAGAAAATGGCAGACAAAAAAATTATCTTATGACGATGTTTCAATAGAGAAGGTGGTGTTTTCCCTTAAACAAAATTTTGATGATAAAACCACCTTTTATCTGATTGCAGCTGACTCTAACTTTTACTACTGACTGAAACTCTTCTGTTATTAAGATGTGAAATTCTCTTACTGTCACTTTACTTTGTCAAACATACTTTTATAGATCAAGGAAAAACATTTTAGCTTGTTATATATAAACACAATATGTTTTAAAGGCAGGGGAAAGCACTTAGCTGTAAGCTTAATTCAGTTCATTATAAGCATGTCTGACTGTACAATAAAGTGTTACATTGTTGCCCCTTCCGTGACACAGTTTTAAAAAAACTTTAGCTAAAAAAAGGGCCTTCACTTCACATTTTACTCATCATTACTCCACTTAAATCCCCTCTTTACATGCTCACTGGTTATTCAAATGTCACGGATGTCAATTTTTTCACCTGACACTAACACCTGGTTTTTCTTATCAAAACACCTGATCTTGCATTCAGAATATAGCAAATTAGCAGTCCCCTCCCTCATTCCCCCAACCTAAACAACTGATGCATCAAGGGGTAATTAGTTACTCCAGTCATGAAATGTCCCAGTCTGACTGTCATGATCTTGCAGTAACCACAATACATGCTCTCTCCCCAAGCTGGGTGGCCCTTACAAGATGTATTAGGAGTGCAGCAATATGAGTTCTATCAACATGAGCATACTATGAAGGCATATCCCTAATTAACCTTTTATCGACCACAATATATCATAAATCAAAGGTATGGAAATCAAAGCAGATTCAACAGACAAATTGGCGAGAGAGGGATAGGAACTATAGAAGATGGGCATGTCATATTGACTCAATGTCTGCATCAGTCTTGCAAAGATGCTCAATGGGGGGAAAACTGCCTTCAATAAAATTTTTCTTTTTTTCTTTCTTCAAGTGTTTAACCTCCAATCAAACTTTGCAATTTAAAAACAAATAAGAAAAAAAAATCCTCAGGAAATGAATGTTTATCATGAGGGCTCTAAAATTCACTTCTTTCAATAAAATTTGATCAGTGCAGCTGTGCAGAGGAGATAAATTCAATAAAGAAGAGAGGTTTAGCTGGAGACTTTCCATTAGATTCCTCTGATGATATAATATTTTTATCTTTCTATCTGATGTTCAAAACATATTAACTTTGCATCTCTAATCCTTGATGTAAACAGACGTAATATGTAAACTTGGGTAAGGTTCTGCGTTTTTCAGACGTAATTAGGTTCAAAAGTCCCCTGGGGGTTGGGTATAATCAGTATTGCTGGCTCCTGGAAACATTCCAAAGGAAACAATAAAAATATAAAAGTAATATACCACATTAGATAAAAAATGTTTTCAGTTAATAACTCATAATCTTTATGCCTCTTCCTCTAATATTTCACATTCAGACAGGTACTTCTATCATGTATGGGTTCATTTTGTAATTAATTATATCTTAAATCTTATTGTCACTGATTAAATCTTTAAATTTCTAATATGGTTTAAAATCAATTTTCTAATACAATTTTTTACATTTTCAATGATTCTAGAGTTTAATATTTTTTCTCATGCCAATCAATCATGCTCCAAAAAGTTTTTTTCAAATAATGAAAATAACCAATGAGCTAAAAAAGATTTTGGATTTGTGACTATGTTTAAACCCCTAAACAAGTTGGGCATTCTCTGCATGGTTCTATACCAAAACCCAAAAGCCAATATTCATCTAAGAAAGTACATCAGAACCGCAATTTTATTTCCAGATCAATAAGAGAACTGGAAATTAAGCACAGCTCAAGAGACCAAAATAACACAATGCCATATGTCAGCTGCAGGTTTCAGACTCTCTGTGTTAAATGAAGAAAGTCCAATCTATTTCTGATCACAAATAAAAATCAGCTAACTTGTCTAAAATTGGTCTAACCATTATCAGTTCTATTTATATAATAGTGTTGCATTATGCATGTACTATGCCTAAATTAGGCAGGATATACACATGGTGCACGAGCCGGAGGCGAGTGCACTATGTGTCAAACCCTGAAAAAAAAAAAAAAAAAAAAAAAAAAAAAAAAAAAAAAAAAAAAAAAAAAAAAAAAAAAAAAAAAAAAAAAGCTACTATTTAGGCATAGTACATGCATAATGCAACACTATTGTTATTATTATGCTGACTGTTGTTATTATTTATGCGGCAATCCATTTTATTTTTTCCTGAAAATAATGGTGGTAACACAGCGCACTTGCAAAAACTCATTCAAAATCTTCATGCTAAAATTAGTTGCATGCTTAGTTATTTTGGTTACTAGTATTTTCTCTTAATAAGTCAGAATTTTCTGTCCCAAAGATACTCATCTTTATTTTCTGTTTTGTTAGTAAGACTGATTTGTTTACAGAGCTGACGTAGATTCTCATTAAATTTTCTTTTACATCCTTCAATCAGGCGCTATATAAAAAAGCGTTTTAATGACCCCATGAAATCAATTCATCTAACGATCTGTATGTAATTAGTTTGAAACTTTGTTGTACACATTTATCTAAGATTCCTTAGAATAAATATAACTGTTTTCAAATAATATTTGTCTATTTTCTCCTTCTCGTGTCAATTGTATAAATTAAGTTTATATATCTAATAAAATTCACCCAATTAGTGATCGTCTCCGTGGCGTAATCGATAAGGCATCGGACTGGCAACCTCATGGTCGTGAGTTCGATTCCCGGAGAGTGCATTGAAGAATTTTATTCAGAAAATAAGGCCGTGCACTATTTCGGCATAGTATGCTTACGCTATATAAATCCTTAGACCACTATGCGAGAATAGTAGGGTATGGGTTATATAGAGACAAACTGACAGGAAGCATAATAATTCAGGATATAAATGTGGGATTTCCTCTGATGTAATTTTGCTCCAATGATATGTATTATACATGCCAGATTACATGTGATGCTGTCTTTCAAATTGTCACAAATGCAACCACCTTGGGTCACAAGAAATGTATGAAGTTTCGACTTCATGTTGGTAACCCAATGGTAGAAAAGAATTTGAAAGGGGACAGGGGTAAAATTTTCTGAACAATATTACAAGTACCGTAATAAGTTTGTCTCTAAAAGCAAAAACTGTACCTGAGGTCCAGTAACTACTTAGAACTACTTTCTACAAATTCTACCTTACAGACCCTCTAGTTCAATTATCTGTCTGGTAAAAAATAGTCTGTTTGTCTGCATTCTATTTTTTTGTCAGTCCAACTCAAATAGATCATTCCTTTGAAGGCTAATACTTGGTGCTTTGTATGTTTTTTGGATACTCACTCTAAGACTTGCTGATTGAATGGTTTCTGTAGGTTTCCTAGGTATTCCCCAATCATCTGCTTACTGAGACCTTTCCTGGTGATCAGAAAATGGGCCACTTCTCCTGGGGTTTCCCCAATGAAGCCCTGCTCTGACAGGAACAAGATCCCCTTCTCTGGCTTTCTACAAGACAGGAATACATAATTATATATTCAGAGCATGAGAGTTTTTAGTTGAAAACACTTTCCATGTAACTAATCAAAAAATTTGCTTCAATTCAAATAAAATTGTTCATTTTTTGGAGGTGGGTGGGTGGCCATGGGGGATGAGCATCAACATTTTCAAATTAAAACAAAAAGTCTGCAGAAGTTGTACTGACTAATTCCAAGTGCAAGAAATATAAACAATTCAAAACATATTTAGGTAATGCCACATGTCATAGATATATTTTCTTTAAAATAGAATTGCCACAACACATCAAATATTGTAAACAGCATACGGATGCCAGGGATCTGACGGTGATATTCATAGTGGTAATTAACCCATCTAACTAATTAATGATTTTCAGTCTCTAAGCTGCCAAGTGCCAGAGTTCTCCACACTATTGGGTAACCCCATGTCAAGAAACCAAATGTTAATGACAGGTATATATTCTGACTAGTTCCAAATAAGAGTCTCAGGTGATTTTTCATGCCATTTTTTGTTAACTGTTAACAGTGTTTTAGAATTTATACATCCTGATATGAAGCTTTATTCAACTTCTTAGCTGGTCCAGTGGTTCTACGTGTTCTATAGAAGAAGAAGTTTGAAATTTAACATGCCATTGAATTTTCATTATCTCTCAATTATCTCCTCTTGGAAAAAGAGTAGAGCCCTGCAATGTTGACCAAATTCAAGTTCTCTTTGCTCAAGGAAGCTTTTTTGCTAGTTTGGTTGAAATTGCCAGGCATCGAGATTCAACTTGAGAAAAAGATAATAAAAAAAATTTAGATATTAAACATGTAAAAAGTATACAATCTGATAGATATATGCCATACTGAAAGCTTATTTCAGTTTCTGTTCTCTTTAAAAAACACTGGACTCATAGTCATTCCCTTGTTGAGTTTAACATTGTGCTGAGTTAATTATTTTCTATTTTCATCAATGCTTCCCAAAGCCTCATTTTAATTTAAGGAACAGATGTTCTGCCATTCCCAAGACTTGTTGCAAAGAATTCTATTTAATTGCTAAGGGCCTACAGTGTAACTCTTGAGTAACATTTGTTTGCTTGGCCTAATCCACAGGGATGAAACAGCTGGTGTACAGTTTTGTATCAAAACAGATTTGACTATAATAACAAATACAGAATGTGTTATAACTGCTGTTGGAAACTGTTTCATGTATGAGTCATAATCAATACCCTAAACAGTAACAAACATCCCCACTTGCATGATATTGATTTACAGTAAAGCAAAACATCCACTGTTGTTTCAAGAGCTGTGAGCAATTTTCAAAATCAATTTCTTCCTTGAATGGTCAATGTTTGATGTTGGTGTTCAATTTATTTATTGTACAAACTCCATAAATGGTACAAATCAAGCTCATAAGTGGGTCCTGCATGTACTGTGCCATGTGATGCATTTCTTTGCTGGCATAATTCATTTAATTCTAATTAATTAATGAAATGGAGAAAACAATTCTTCCTTTATATACATGTAGTTATAAACTTTAGGATCTCAAACACCAATATCTCATTCACATTTAGGAATTATGTCATAGTGATTCAGATAGTCTCAACCTTTTTATTTTCTTACAGAATTTTAGCGTCAATACCTGAATTAATCTATATGTACCAAGTTTTTTTCACTTCCATCAAGTTTGAGATAATAAGGTTTGACTGTGAAATAGAATTGAATTACTTTCTCCTACCAATAATCCAAAGTAATGATGAATTTGTATTATATATTGGACTTATCCCACAATATTTACATTTCCAATGTCTTTGTCTGAGATAAAATTACCAAACATTAAAGTGTACATTATTTCCCCAACAATGTATTGGCACGGTTCCAAAAAAAACCACATGCAGGGTGGGACAAACAGCTAAACTGACGCAGGGCTTTGAGCGCGTGGATTGGGCCATCCTTAAAAAATTGTTTGTTTGGAATTGCCGCCCGAAGGGTTTCTGACAGTCAGGAGGGAGGGAGGGAAATTATTTTTTTTTTTTTAAATTGAAGATAAATTTCAAATTTTTGATAAAAATCTCAGTAAACAGTAAATACATTTTCTGGCTTTTAGAAAAAGTATCTACCATCAACAAAAAGACTAATTTTACATAGATCTGATATTATATTTCAGTGTTATGTATGGTGTATGTGATACATTTAATGGGCAAAAAAAATTGATTATAAATAAAAAAAAATCTTCCTACTTTTGGTCAATAAAATTTTTTCAGGAGGGGGCATTTCAATAAGGCGGGAGGCAATTCCAAACAAACTATAATTTTATTTTGGCCTTGGCGGATTCAAAGCATGTAAATATAAGGAATAACTGTCAGATTTTTCAATTTCATGAAGATGATCAATCGATTGGCTTGCGTGATAATTTTATGCATAAACGCTTTCGGCGTTTATGCAAATTATCATGCAAGCCAATCAATTGATCACTTCATAAATTGAAAAATAAGACAGTTATTCCTTAAGGTAGGATTCTTCTCACATTTCTTGTATTTAAAAATTATTTAAATTTTCACAGAATCAAGAGGACAATATCACTAAGTGATGGTATCAGTGAGATTAAATTTGACCGTTTAATATTAGAGACAAGGTCAGGTCAAGGTCATTACCTTTTCCATGGACATAAAGAATAAAAAAATACTGTTTTCAGTCATGTGATCCCTACTTGTAATTCAAAAGATTGAATGTTATTCTTTTTGCATAAAAAGATACCACCATATTGGGCCTATAAAATGATATTACCAAACTGACATGGATTATTTAAATGAAATATATTTGCTAATCCGAACTACTTTTCTTAAATTTTTAGGATTTATTAGTTATTTTTATATGCTTCCTATATTTAACTTTTTCCAGTTTTCACATATAGTAAAGTTGTCAGATTAAGGTACAAAATGGTACAAAAACTGAAAGTTTTGATCACTAAGAGAGAAAAAACACTTTTGAAGGATTTTTGGCTCAAATTTGTACTTAGATGTGAAGCATTTAAAAGCCAACATAGTTCTAATATGTATGAAAAATCTTATTTATTTGATATATTTTGAAACGTGTGTCCCTTATTATTAACTTAACTTACATTTGAAAATTTCGTCTAGTCTTTGATTGTGTAAAAAATATAACTAAATTCAATGATCTTTAATAATTTTGAGAGGCAGAAAAGTAGATATTTTCATACGCCACCATTCCGCCAAAAATATGTTCCCTGCTAGTTTTCAGACGCAGTTTACCGTTTCTATTTAAAGTTGTATAATGATGAGGAAAGAAAAAAATGGTCTTTTAAACTTCTTACATCTAAATATATGACATATCAAGAAATGTACTTTGAATATTTCATCTAGTCAAAAACCGGAGAAGAATCCTACCTTAAGTCAAACCTTATTATCTGTAACTCACTGGGGTTAACAAGATATTTAAAATATTTAACTCAATCCAGCATACCAATGGTATGTGCATGATGTGTGAGGCACAAACATCTATCTGAGTTTGTGAGAATGGATCAAATATCATTTTTTTAGTCCTTCTAACAGAAATTTGGAAACAAACCAGTTATGTTCATCAAAATTAATTGTCAGATCTACAATTGAATACTTACTTGTTGAACATATTGAGGCCTATACGATATGTGCGTTTCCGTGACTTGTCTGATTTATGCACACCACTATGTCCACCATGTTCTGGCGCCCCACTTATCCTTATTTTACGCTGGTACACTAAACTAGACTCACTTCCTATACTAATAGTTTCCGAACTCGGAGAACTCGAACAAGGAACATCCAGTAGTGAGTCGGCTTCACTGAGTTCTGATATGTTGCTCATGCGTTTCGGTTCCTGAAGTTTGTTGGAAATGGGTGCAGGAGGTGTTCCGTTTGTATTAGCACCTTTACGTTTCCAAATAGGCGAGGCCTCTGGACCTCGAACAGGTACCTGAGGTGGCTTTTTACCCGATAATGAACCCGAACTGTCATTTTTACGCATTTTAATTCCCTGTTGCATGTAGTATTTGTGAGTTTGGTCTGCCATTTGTTTTTGTTCAGGCGATCTCATTGTTTCTAATGGCTGGACAGAGTCTATTTTAATTTGTAAATCTCCTTGGCTACCATAGGAGCCAGAATCTGAGAAGTTTGACTTGTAAGAATCGTAACATTCACTTTTATTTTCTAATGTGTCTGTACTTGCATTGGAATAGAGTGATGAGGCGGACATTTTCTTGTGATTATAGCCACCACAATACATTGATCCATCCTGATTACTCTGATCACTATGAAAACTTTCTGCTAGCACTATTCCTGTGTCTTTATTTTCCAGTAAAGTTTCAAAGTCGAGACTATGCGGATCGATTGCACTTTCTGCAGGCGTAGGCTGAGGAGAGTCACTAGCACTGCTTTCATTCATTTCAGGACAAGAGTTTCGGTTATTATTGGTTTCGTTGGAGACAGATTTTGTATCTTTCGGAATTTCTGTAAGATCTATCTCCTTGTGTCGTTCTAGTTTTCTCTTATCTGTTATTCTTTTGTAAGGTAATTGGGAGTCAAATCGTGTATTTTGGTCCAAAGACATTTGCTGTCGTAGTCGGTTTTCACCGAATCGAAGCTTATCACTGTCCATCCGTTTCCCGACCACATCCGAGTGTCTTTGTAAATCACCATTACCTGGTAAAATCGGTGATGAATTCATAAAATAAGCATCAGCACTTACAGTATTACTTCTTCCTAATTCAGATAAACGTTTCGATAATCGACGTTCACCAACAGCTATTCGTAATTTTTCAAAGTTTCTGTTCATGGTATACTGGCGAAATGCCCTCTGTATAATTTTGGCGGCCCGCCGTGATCGTATAGATCCACCGTACTTTCTTTCCAACATTTCCACCTGTTTGTCCTGCAAGTCTTGTGAGAGTTCGTAAGCCACGGACTGTGACCTTGAGCGTTTTATTTCGTCTTCATTTCTTCGAAATGACCTTTGTCGTTGACAGCGGTTGCTGTGGAGACTGGTCTGGTTGAGGAGTCTGCTGCTTCGCGGCGACTCGAGTGGCGATCCTCCGACAGAACGAGAACGATTCTTGTTCCGCAGAAATTCTTCTCCGCTGTGGGAGCTAGTGACACTGTAAAACAGAGAAAACACAAATTAGATCCAATCTCCTGGAAGAACATATGATGTTTTGAATAGACATATCTATAATACTAAGATTACACTCCAATGTCTGTCTGAAAAAATCTAAATATACAAAAAAAATATGCACCATTTCTTACACAAGAACATAAAAATAAGAAGATTAATGGAACTAAACCCTCTACACAGCACTAGAAACATTATTTTTCTCTTTCAAAACAAATCATCTTCAAACATTAATAGCAAGTTTTCTGTACAATAACATGATAAATCAATTAAGACGAAGCAAAGAGAGATACCTGAAACTGCAGCAAAAAGGTATACCCTCTCCTTACAAACTCTAACACAACAAAGAACAATGTTTTTTTTATTGCCCTTTGTTTAAAAAAAAAAAGCCAACTGTCCTTACAAATAATTCAGTTAGTAAACAGAACAGAGAAATCCCTGATAGCCATCCCAATCAATAACAGATCTAGAAATTAATGGATGCTGCTGGATGCGGAACATTCAGTTACACTATGTATGGACCACAAGGTCTAATTAGCGAAGGTCATCAAAGGATGATACAGCGATCAATAGAAGTCTAACTGATGAGCCCCAGGCATTAAGCATTGGGTCCATTAGCCCTCACTCTGTCACACCAGTTACAGGCTATAATGATATCCAAGGACAAAGACCTGCATAAAAGGGAGTTATATTGCCATCGCTTATGAAATCAGATGGAAGAAAGAAAACAAGCCATGCCTGGGGTTCATAAAAAAACAGACATCTGAAGGTTTTAATTATGTGGCCTTGTTTGATAAGCTATAATGCGGTAACTTAATTATTCAGTCTGCTTTTATTATTCAAGGAAGCATCATTTTCAAAGAAGATACAGAGGATTATTAGCTAAGTCATAGCACAGTTCTGTCAGTATTAAAAAAACATTGTGTCCCGGGTATATTTGCATTAAGAAATTAAAAGCTCTGCAGGTCCCTGTTCATAAGATTTCACCAGGGGAAATTGGAAGCATCATAGCAGGTCTTGACAAGACATTTGTACCTCAGATTTCATCAGGAGTAGGCATGGACCTATTTTAAACAAACAGTGTATTCTGTATTACAAATTAGCCACACTTGTGCTCTCGGTAAAATCCTTGAGAGTGTAGAAATATATATTCCAATCTAAACATAATCACATAAGTTTAAATGAATGCCTGCTGAGTGTTTGACAGCCTGATAATTAGTGGCATGATGTCGGAGCAAATTCTGGAGGAGAGTTTCAAGGGTCATGTGATACTTAAGAGGTCAAGGACTTGAACATAAAGAAAGTTCTGAATCTGAATAGAGATTTTTTTTTCTTATCAGAAAAAGAAGGATATCCATCTGTTTCTGATAGAAGGAAACACGTTATAATGAGAAAGTCACTTGAATTTAGTAGGACTAATAAAAGATCATTGCACAATCTATTGTTTAATACAATTAGTACTTCAAGTGTTCAGACACATTTATCATAATTTCAATGAGCCATGTTTTGTCAGCTCATTAATTCTGTGTTAAGCATAATGGATCCCTTTACTTTAAGTCACAGATCAAAGGATCGATGCTGATTCATATTTAAGAAGGATGCATTTATTTTTTTAAAAAGGCAACCCTTTAAAAGTTACTCATCAGATCTTACACTGAGAAACTATATGTAAAAAATTTAATTACAGTTCTATAAATATAGTTAAACTCATTTAGTAAGAACGCGGATTTTTCGAATTCATGGATATAAATTATCATCAAAGTTATCTTTGATCCCCATCTACATAAAGTTTAAATGGACTCCTTATACGGATATAAGGTCAGTTACAGCACAGCACAGTTAAGGTTACAAAAAGGAGGCGGAGCCTAATTTGTACGGGAAAACTTGACTATGACATCATACACAATATACGTCATACAACATTTCTTTAAAATACCATAAAATGAGTTTATCTGCTAATTTAACCAGTAAGAAATCATCAAACTACATAAAAACTTACTACAGTGTGTTGTTTTGTCGTTAGTTAAATCCCACATAACAAGTTATAAACAAGTCACCTATCGCAATACACTTGTCAATATGACGTCATTTCTTACAACGTGACGTAGTTTGTATGCCCTGAGAGACAGATCAAGTAATATTTTCTCAACAAAATATGTATTCTCTAATTAAATAAAATATCATTTACAGATATTCTATGGGCCAATAACTTGAATTTAATGTCTTCTTCACTATTTTATTTATATATTTTCTGTACATTACGTATTTAATTGACACTGCCGTATATCTGTATGCAAGTACATCGGAGGATAATGTGGGGGGTCTTAATAAATCGATCTAGTGCAAGGACATACACTCTATGGATCCAAGTAAGCTTTTACATTTCAACTCTAGAACTATTAAGGTATCTGAAAAGTGTTGCGATCCTGATGAAATCTTAAAAACAATTTAATTATATCAATAATTCATGCCGCTGACCAGCAAAAAATATAGCATTCGGTCAAACAAGTATAATTTTAACATTGAAATTGCAGAATTTATACAGGATCGCAGCACTTTTTAGAAAATACAATGCGTGTTGAAAATATTTATATACTAAACTTGGAAATTTAACTTGGTTATGCCCTTGCACTAGTGATATTTATATGTAACATCAATACTTCAAGTTAATGTGCTAGAATCGCGTGACTGCCGCATCACGTGACTAGTCTAAATATAAAATTTAATCGCCCTCGACATGTAGTTATCAATAATAGTTGCAATTATCCTATATAAATAATGTACTAAAAATAATCGCCATCCCGATTACGAATACATTTTTAAATACAAAAATTATTCGATATTTCCATTGCGCACCTTAACTGTACTGCGAGATATAGCAAAGTAATTTCATAGGTCCCAGTGACTTCGTTATAACCGAGTTTTACTGTATATCAATTTTGATTTCTTAAAAATCAAAGAAAATATTAATTGACTTTATTTATAGCATCAATCATGATACATCAAAACATTAGAAAATAACATACAAGTGCTAGCAAGTAAATGTTTTACCTTAATTAAATGAAAATATATTCCACATCCAGGTATATCCTGAATTCCTCAATTTACAATATAAAGTGTCAAAAAAGCTCACTGTATACCTGTATATATAATTATATTATTGATTCTCACACATATATTCCAAACACCAGCGTATTAACACAGCAATGCTCCTAGTACCAATAGGAAAACAATAAAACACACAATTAAATGTATATCTCCATTGTATGTATATTGGTCTGTCTACAAGAAAATGGACTCAAGTATTCAGATCACAATTTAAACTCTCCCCCTCGGAAATAGTGCACAGGTGGTCAGATTCGAGTAGAGTACTGGGTATTTGGGATCAGTCAATGTCAATCAAAGCTTTAGGCCTTTAAGTGGATTTATATTATTATTTTTCGGTGATAGCTGTGGGTTTGCGTGACAGATAGAATTTCGGGCTACCAGGCTTAGACAGCGGTGAAATCGTCCTTGTCATGTATCAGGGTACTTTAATAGAAAAGGGTAAACTGCTAATTATAATCCTATTGGTGGCCTACTGAGACTTGGGTTTATAGAGTAGAAAGAGGATCATATATATTTAATGAGCAGAAAAGTAGTTAAATCTGATTTTCAGATTATAGACTACTAGCTGACAGCTCCTAAGATTGTATATATATACAGCTACTTAATGCCATGCTAGAAAAGAATTGTATGTATTACATAATCATTGTCTGAACAAAAAGTAGTAACGCTCCTAAGAAAACCAAGCTAATGAAAGTGTTTTTACTGCATGTATGCAAGCATTATAATATTGTTGTGCTTGTAAGAACAAGCATCAGAATTACAAGAAACAAATAACTAAAAAATGACACTGTTTATGAAGATCAGTTCCATATTTTTTAGTGCTGACGATTGCAAACTGTACTTTCGTTTTTACCTTCATTATAAAGTTAGCTCAATAAATAAATTAAGTGCTTAGCATATAAAGCACCCTCAAAAACTATCAATTTAACCCAAGATTTAAGCATATTTTTATATATAATTATCATTTATCCTTCCTCCTCTTCCTTTCCAATATAACTGATTTTTTTTTATTGAAATTTAGTCAATGATTATGCAGATGCACCAATCCCATGAAAACCAATACATGTATGGGCAAAAACCTCTATTAATTCTCACCTCCTACACAATACATGTTGTTTATAATCAACAAAACAATTTAATATATGACTGAATTATAATGTAATATATTTTACATAAATTACATGTAAAGGAAAATTAGGGTATTGACTCTATCATTTATACTTATGAGTGTTCTTACCAGTTTGAAAACAGGTCTAAAATCCCAATCATATTGTCAAAGTTTCACTTCAGAATTCTAGTCCACTTAAATTACCTCCACAAAAAATATCCATCCATCCCAACCTCATTTTTATTAATACGAAATATTTCCTACATAACTGCCTGTTGATTCTGATAACCTTCAAAAATAAAATCCTCCAAAAGAATTAGAGAAGTGAGCACCATGTGGTCTCAACCGAACACCACCGAACACCTGGTGGATACAAGACCAGTATCTTTTTGAAAAATTCCTGGCTTCAAGGAAGGAACAGGGCAACTCCATGCAGGGTGAACATGAACCTGTTCTACTGAAGAATATTTATTGTAGGAAGATCTGTCTGCATTAAACGGTCATTAGTTGGTGAGTGGTCAAGAAATTGTATGACAAATTGACCATAACATTCTGATAAATAACGGGATAAAAGAAATCAAGAGAATCTGCACAGTTTGGGGCTTTTGATTAACATCAGGGAAGATAAATGCCATGTGTAGAATTTATTTATAAGCAAACAATTAATTGATAAACAGGTTGTTAATTAGCTCTCTCTCTCTCTCTCTCTCTCTCTCTAAAATGGATGAAATTGCACCCCATTAAAAGCAGCTGTGATACTTTTTTATCAG